ACACACACACCCACTCACTTACTCACTCACCCAACAAGCACCAAACTACAAACAAAGCCACTCACCCTTTCGGAAGTTCCCAAACACCTCGACAGGCCCCGAAGACACGCGTGCGGCCATGACCTGCGTGCCCCCCAGAAGCACGTTGGGGTCGGCAGAGCCCAGGTGTTCCGGCGACATCCATGTGGACAGCGTCTTAGACACGTACGGCAGGAAGAAGGCGTCATCACTGCGGGGAAGGAAAGGTTACGGTACACAATGACTGGTTCATCGAAGTAGACATCTACATCATCGACAGTATAACGGCCGGTTGGAGAACCACATCAACACAATAACGGTCATTTAGAGGAGGATTTTGTTTGTGAGAAGCACAGCGACACAATAACGGCCATTTAGAGGAGGATGTTGTTTGTAGAAGCACATGAACACAATAACGGTCATTTAGAGAAAGATGTTTGTTTCGTTTTAGTAAGAGTTTTACGGCACTTGCAACACAATAAGGTCATATAAGTGTCGAAGATTAGAGGTGTTGCAAGAGAGTAACAAACACAAAAAAGAAGGAGGGGAGGTAGAGACGATTGATTTTTTTATAGGAAAGAAGGAGCAAAGCGCACCAAAGCACCCGCCAACCACATACAAAAATGTTTGTAGCGCGCATATATCGACACAATAACCCTCATATAGAGGTGGCTTTTTTATATAAGAAACAAACACAGTAAGGAGGGTCTTGTTTGTCAGAGTAAAGAAGAACATCGACATTTCAAACTCTATTTAGTGCTTCGCAAAAGCAAAACAGATGTAGATCTAGATGCACAAACACTGGACAGACAGAAAATAGACTCATCAGTGGCGACCTCCAATCAAATTCGATTTAGAATAGGGAGGGGGAGGGGGAGACAGAAACACTGCGATGTGATTGGGTAATGAGGAGCAATTCGACACAATCGACACAACAGCAGTCATTTAATACAGGGCAAATGTATGAAGTGAAAGACTGTCAGAAAAAACAAAGAATGAAAAGAAGTGTGACCTATTTTGTTGGAGTAAAGAAAAGCACATCGACACAATAGTGGTCATTTAGTGCTAGGAAAAAGTAGGACAAACAAACAAAAAACACACAGGGAAAGTAAAGAAGTAGGACCTATCAGCAGAGCCCTCCAACCACCCACAAGTGTGACCTACCAGAGAATACCTCAGACCAACCGCACAGAGGCAACAAACGGTCAGAAGAAAGAGAAAGAGAAAAGGACAGAAAGAGAAAGATTAGAGAAAAAATGAAAGAGAGAGAGAGAAGGGGGGGGTGGGGGGCAGGCGGACAGACAAACACGGAGAGACCCTTATGACAACGAACACAAACACGTCATTCTGGTAGTAAAGACGAAACAGTGCCATAACAACAGACGGGCGTTAAATCCTTCACACACACACACACACACACACACACACACACACACACACACACACACACACACTCTCTCTCTCTCTCTCTCTCTCTCTCTTCCCCCCTCTCTCTCCCTTTCTCTCTCTCTCTCGCTCTCTCTCTCTCTCACTCTCTCCCTCTCTCTTCATCTCCCCAACACCCTCACATCTAATCGTTAGCACGCAGGTTCACTCACAAAGACAGCCAGCACCTAAGGTCATTCCCTCCTGGGCTGGCTCTAAGTTCAGAGTTCTAACATCTTACTTTACAGCTCTTATCAGCGCTATGATTCTATACACTTCTCAGATTTTCTCCCCCCCC